GGATTTGCAGCTCGTTTCTTCATTTGCATGTGTTGTGAGGATTTGCAGCGCGTTTCTTCATTTGCATGTGTTGTGAGGATTTGCGTTTCTTCATTTGCATGTGTTGTGAGGATTTGCGTTTCTTCATTTGCATGTGTTGTGAGGATTTGCGTTTCTTCATTTGCATGTGTTGTGAGGATTTGCGGCGTTTCTTCATTTGCATGTGTTGTGAGGATTTGCGGCGTTTCTTCATTTGCATGTGTTGTGAGGATTTGCAGCGTGTTTCTTCATTTGCATGTGTTGTGAGGATTTGCAGTGTTTCTTCATTTGCATGTGTTGTGAGGATTTGCAGCGTGTTTCTTCATTTGCATGTGTTGTGAGGATTTGCAGCGTGTTTCTTCATTTGCATGTGTTGTGAGGATTTGCAGCTCGTTTCTTCATTTGCATGTGTTGTGAGGATTTGCAGCGCGTTTCTTCATTTGCATGTGTTGTGAGGATTTGCAGCGTTTCTTCATTTGCATGTGTTGTGAGGATTTGCAGCGCGTGTGTTGTCAAACTGATGAAGATGTTTTCTTAATTTGCTGGTGTTTTTTCAATTTGCATGTGTTTTCTTAAGTTGCAGCGCGTTGAGCTCTCTCGGCCACCGTAGGTTTCTGATATTAAAATATACAATCTTACAGACTAGGATGAAATGTTCATTTATATTCACAATGATTTGTGACAATTAGCCTATAATGCATTCTAACCTCGAACCATTTTAGGTATGCCTATTCAATTATATGATTACAAGATGAGAACACACAGTGAAAATGCCTATTAGATTAGACCTCTCTCTCTCTCTCTCTCTCTCTCTCTCTCTCTCTCTCTCTCTCTCTGAAGAGTCGCCAGAGGGAATATCAGAAGGAAGGAGACAAAATCATGGTAAAAAAATTAACAATGCGTTTATTGAATAAACTTAACTACATCTTCCTCAATTTGTTACTAATGTCAATGGACAATTAATGACAACATGGTCCCATGACATTGAAGATTTTGAAATTTAAACTCTTTACATTCTAATCTAAATTCTAACTCTAACCTGTAACACAATAAAGAAGAAAATATAAAATTAATATGTTTGATAAATAACAACAAAAAAAGTAAAAGATTATATTAAAATGGTATATGTATGAATTAAATAATATGGAAAAATACAAAGACATGAATTAAAAGTATTGGTTGTATGTACAGAATGTTTGGTCTTTAAAAGTAAAATTTTTTTTTCGCTTTTAAACAAATGAGAGCAAAACATTAGATTCTTCTGTCATGGTATAGCCTACAGAGAAAGTCATGATAGCCTACAGGTGGGAGCTTTTTCAGTTTATCACTCAGAAGGACTTAGAATAGCCTTTAACACCTTTCTTTAAAGACTCATTCATGGAACTACTGCAAGATGCACGAAATGGTTGAGTGTTCTTTTTGGTGAACAATATCTATATGTATTGCCTGTAAAGTCCATTTATAGTCTTTACACAGCAGCATGTCTCTTTACATGTTTAAAAAACAGCTAATTTAAAGACGCTGACGTCGCGTCAGGTCGTCGTGTGGGTCATCCACAGTGTAAGACACTCAAAGCTCAAGACATTCGGATAGACGTTCGGTTTGACGTTCGATCGGTCGGTCGTTTGATTTTTGCACGGAGTACGTGCCATAGAGCAGGTCTCTAATCCACTGGCACTTGACTTGTCAGTGCGTGTGCTACATCCTTTTTACAATCTCTAGATTATAAAACACTGCATTCTGTCAGCAATGTAACGCGGCAGTAACGTATACACTGAAAAAAGTTTTTCAAGCAGTACTTCATCCAATTAATAATTTGTCTTTCAAGACAAATTCTGTGTGAATTCAACGAGTTGTGGATGAGAAGGTGGAAAATTTTGTTTTAGATAAGTTAGTTGTATGGACGTTATTTTCCGCCATTTACCTTTTTTCGCTCTTTATTTCTTCGAGAAACTGTGATCGGCGAAAATTTTTGTTTGTCTAAACGACGGGACATTCCTCATCCGTTAGCTAGCTAGTTTTCTCATGCGCCTGCAGCGGACAAAACCGCGCTTGAACCCCGGACAAGCGAGATCGACTGAGATTCTTTTCGTCTTTTCCTTTTTCTTTGTCACTCGATGTTGTTTATGAGGAGTGTAAATTAATTTCACTCATACAGCACCCGCGATTGCAGTGGAGGAGAGACGATGGTGGCGCTAATATGGTGAGTCCAATAATTTAACAACCACGTTTAATAGACATGGCTGTTGTTTGAAAGAGTATTTTTAAATTAATTAACGGTATAAATACAAAAACGGATGAATATACTTCTGTTCTATCTAGGTTCAGAGCCCTCTTAATGACTAGCTTGTTTTGGAAGGAAGAAGAAATGGAAGAGATGCTTTGGAAGTGTAAGTATGGCCCTCATAACTGTGATAAGAGAGCACAGCTAACGTTATATAAACATTATCCCCCGGATTCACAGGCCAGTTTCAGACTAAAATGCTTGTTCAAGCTGTCTTAACTGAAAATATCTTGTACTGACACATCTTAAAATATGTCAGTGCCATTGTCGTGCTCAAGTATGCACACCAGTAAAGTTCTTAAGGCATTTTTATAAAAGTTATTTAAATATCCTAATTTAACCAAGGCCAAAGACTGTAACTTTAATGTTTGCTCTTCACAGAAAAGTTGTCAAAAACAAGCCTGACATCACCCAAAGGCCAGCTCTTTTCACAGTAAACTAGGTATGTATAAGTAATGGAAGTTATACAAGAACGAAACAATGTCGTTGTTCACCTCAGGCATGTACATACATTTAAATTACTTTATGCACTAAAATGTACACTTATGCCACCTCACAGCAAAACTCCAGATCAGCAGTA